TTTTTGAAAATAGGTAATGGACAAAATAAATATAATCGATTTTAAAAGTCTGACCACTTATTTCTAAACTATAATTCAATCTAGACAGAAAGTCTAAGGATAATTTTGGTACTTTTTAAAGATGAAGGACAATTTTGGTACCAAAGTGTAAAGTTGAGGGACCAAAATGGTACTTAAACCTTTTTTTTTTTCAATATCAAAACGTGAATATATATATTTTTGAAAATTTGCAGGAAAGCCTAGGAAAGATAAGAAAAGGTGCAAGAGGGTCTCCAACTCAACCAATGAAGGTGTAGATTCAATAGGAAAAAATCGAGCTTCTGGCCAAGATCAAGTATATCAAATATCTTCAGGGGATGATGACTGCTCAAAAGTATTGATGGGAGCCGGGTAGAGGAAGGCAATTGCATCAGCCTTTAGGTTTTGATGATGTTCAATATTATGATCACTTGTCATTTATGATGCTATAGTCAAAAGAATACAATGGAAAAAGTTGAAAACTTTGGATTTAAAATTTGATATTATAATCATCATTTGAATTATTTGAAGAGCATTTTTTCATTTTTTTTTTAATTTTCTAAAGGGAGAGGATTTTTTTTTTCATCAACAAAAAGGATTTTTTTTTTAAAGAAAGCTATATACCCAAATTTCAAATGTATTCAATGCTTCATTCCTACATTCCATTCTATAGTATCCATTATTATTAAAATACAAAATAAAATAAAATACACACTAAAAATTACATTACAACAGAAACACCCAGCAATGTGCAGGGATATATGTTTGAGGCAAAATAATAATAATAATTTGCCGGGATATAATAATATAATATACCTACTCCAAAGCGGATAAATACAAACTTGATAAATTAATGGAGGAGTAATTAAGTTTTGGGGAAAGTGCGCATGAGTCTACTTCCAAAAGAAAATTGGATTCCCAAATCAAAATGGCATCGTTTCTCTTAATCCTTGGCCCCCTACTGTTTTTTGCCCCTTCTGCAATTATCTCCGTCGCCTCCTCGCCTCCTCGCCTCCTCGCCGCCTCCAATTCCTTCAGTTTTTCAAACACAATCCTAGGCCGCTGACTTAATCCCCAACACCAATTTTTTCTCCATCATGTCGAGGAACCAATCATTGTCCTTTGCCATACATCTTGGATCATTGACCAGCAATGCCCCAATTTCCTTGAGCACACGATTCATCTCGCCGCACAACTTATTGAATCTAGCCCCGATGTCAGCCGCTTCCTTGGCGGAGTCACCGTCGAGTTGGCTGGTGATCTTCAAGTACGACTCTAGATCTATCACAGGTAGCTTCATTCTTCTATCTTTTTTTCTTTTTTTGGGGATTCAAAAGAAAAAATGGTTCTGAATTTGAAGTTGCAGAGAATAAGAAAGTGAAAGGGGCAAAGCTAGAGGGTGGAAGTATAGAATCTTTTGCGAGCAAATTGAGATGGCGGGAGAGGGGACTTTTTTCTTTTTCTTTTTTTTTTTTTTGGACTTTCATGGGTTGATTCTCAAGGTGGGGTAGTGACTATTTTCACCATATTCTGCTGCTGCAATTTACCAAAGCACTTACCGTCCTTCGATCCCTTCTCTGTTAGCGTCGATGGAGATGATGAATTGCAACGGTAGAGTGAGGTGAAAATAGTGGGTGCTGGGGATTAAGTCGGCGGCGTGGGATTGTGTTTGAAAATTGAAGGAATCGGAGGAGTCGAGGAGGCGATGGCGACGATTGCAGAAGGATTAAGATAAACGACGTGGTTTTGGTTTAAGACTCCAATTTTTTTTGGAGGTAGGACTGACGCTCGCTTTCTCCTTTAGTTTTTACTTATATATGTATCACCTGTAAAATGGTGAGAGTCAAAATAAACAGAGCAAATATTTGAGAAAAAATAGCCCATGGCTTGCGAAAGTGGTTGTGAATGTAAAAGGCTCGCCATCTAGGCCACCACCGCTGGCAGTAACGATTCACTTGCCTGTAGATGACAGCATAATGGTTGCAGCTGATATAAGTGCCATTGTATAGCTATTGAGAACTTAGTTGCGTCGCGTGGATTCAACGAGTTGCAAATAATGCCACTCTTGCGTAGTGTGTCTATGTCTTCAACTGTGTCGATGAGATTATCCATGAGTTTGGCGTAAGATGTGACCATAGGAGCACAACCACGAAACTGCTCAAAAGCAATGGGTTTCGAAAGATGGTTTCTGTGGAGTCATGGATTAACAGAGATGGAATTTCAAGAACACCTTCCTGAAATCTTATATTCAACCTTAGTGATCTGCCTCTCTTGAATTTCACGCCGGCCTCTTTGAGTCTGCTGGCAGAGGGAACCTGCACCTCCAGTTCCGGTACCTGTGCCTCCGGTGCTGTCAAGAGTTTCTGTAAGAACTTCAACAGGAGTGAAGTTAGCGAACGCAGATGCTCTGACAGACACTTCCACAACGGCGGACATTGATACCCCCGTAAATGCTCCCATAATTTCTACAAAACGGAAAGGGGAAAAAGCAGGTAATTACGAGCATATTTAGTAGTAGATAGGAAGGCTGCACTTTCTTCTCATCACTTAAGAATGATAGAAACAAACAATTCCTAAATAGATCCAGAATATGCTCGTTTCTTTCCGTTTCAAGAAGCTTATGACGTACAGAAAGTCCTTCATGTGAGAACATGTTACTAAAGAAACGGATGGCACCTTCACGGAGTTTCAGCTTGTAATCGCCCCCATAAAGTAGGTTGGACAAGAGCTCTAGCACGAACCAAGGTATCTGATTTTCCAGCAAAATCAAGTCATGATACAAGCATTGGAGCAGATAGACCGTATCGATTTTAGTTTCATATGGGCCTGATCCTTCTCCCATGAGCTCATCATACTCGTTGAAGAACAATTTAATAATAAAGCAACCATCAAGCACCAAAATTTTTACAAAACCGTCATCTATTTCTTCAACTTGTGTTTCCCCAATCTTCTAGTGGCCTCGCATGTGTGAAATCTGGATGTAGACGTGCCACTTACTTTGCTGAAAACAAAAAAGGAGGACTTCTCCAACGGCCCTCTCCATCCTCATGGTCGACCTCCTTGCAGATGGTGGGAAGAACGTTGGATTAAAATTAAAATATGCGCCTATAGAAGATTTGTAAGAGGGAGGGATACCTTTCCTGCATAATGGATTTAAAAAGACTCAAAAAAACTAAGCAAAGACTATCTCTTCTAGCAGTTTAATAGATCTGATTTCACACTTACTGAACTTAACATACTAACCACACATTAACTTCTAGTCTGAGTTAGATTTCGAAAACACCCCATAAAAATTTTGGTATCAAAGCCATAAGAATCAATGCTGTTAAGAATGGAATTAAGAAAACTAGTAAGATTTTATGATCAAAAGATCAAATTATTAACTAAGATTATAATAGAAGAAGGGATGATTCCCTATAGAATTGATGAGTTACTATGGGAAAGATATGTATATAAAGTTAGTAAAGCTTTAGCTTTAGAAGAATTAAAAAATTTAGCAATATAAGAATAAAAGCTATTTTTGTAGCAAATATAAACTCAAGGGCTAAAAAATCAAAGAATATTAAGTTCAAGGATTGAAATGTCAAGTCAACTGAAAGCAAAAGGTTAGATTTAACGTCATGGGTGTCAGAAGGGCTGATTTGCCACCTAATGTAAGTTGAAGGGTTAGCTTGTTTCTGATAGTACTTGAGGGGCTTATTTAACACCGATCGATGCATTAGGGGTGATTTGCATGATTTGTCTTAGAAGTAAATTGAAAATTTTGCTTCTAAAATAATTTTTAAATAAATTTTAAAAAGTT